AAAAAAAAAAGCATTTATTTTTTGCATAAAAAGATTTATTAGCACAAACAATGTGTTGTAAAGAAAAAAAAAAAAAAAAGCTGTTTTTAAATCAAAGATTTAAAATCATCAGTTTTGTTGTTCAAAATTTTTATACAATTTTTTTTTCTATGCTCAATAAGTTTTTTTTTTCGATGTTATTGTTATTGCAAAAATAAAAAGTAAGAAATGTTTGGGTTAAGTAATCTATTTTGGATATTGTTGCAGCGGAAAATTTTGATGAACTATATTTGTGTTTAAAAATTACTGCATCAAAAATGAATGGTCAAAAACGTGGAGTAAAACTTTTAAGATTGATTGAACGATAATTGGTAAGACTGTTGATAGATGAAATAAAACTGTTATGAAGATTTGCAAAATAAAATTGGACAATTATAAAAGTGAATATTTGGAGCAATGAATTGCCTTCTACCTGTTGTCTTCTATAAATTATACGCTTCTTTATTGTTCTTTTTTATTCCTTTTTTAGATTTGAAAAAAAAAAAAAAGTATGCTTCAAACATGAAAAGAAAAAAAATTTATTCTCAAACAAATTACTCACTTCTTATACAATTAGTACGAATATGGTAACTGCTAAAATTTTGAAGCTGTTTTGAAACTACACACTAATATTGCAAATACTTTCTTCAACAGGTGTACTGTTTTAAAAACTTAGTAGTATTCTAAAAATACTTGTAAAACAACTTTTAAAAAAGTTATTTCTTTTTTTCTTTTTTTTTGAGTCACAATTTCCAGTTTTATTTTACTTTAGTACTGTCTTAGGTGCATCAGAAAATTTAAAATGTTCAGTATAGTTGGGTTTACTTTTTGCTTTTTCAACGTTCCTATATTGTATGCGAAATTATGGCTTTACAGAAAACTCTAAAACTTAGGAGTATAAACAATTTTCTGATTAATATCTCCAATTTTACTGTTAAAACTGTATCAGAGGTTCTGGCGGTTTCAGTGGAAAAAATTTAGCGTAGGTTGCTGTCAAATTTGTCCATATTTACGTCACTGAGGAAGATATTTTTTGATTGTTTTTTTGCATGACAGTTGTAGGATGGAACGACTGAATAAAGGTGAGTAAACATTTACAAAAAATCTGAATTTACTGATGTCAGCTGTCGGTGATTTTCAAAAGAGGAAAGAGCCTATAAATAAAAATTTTATTTTTTTTGTTTCTTGCTAATTATCAACTAAATTCTCTTTAGTGTTGATTCTTCATCTGATTTTTAGTACTAACTGCCAATATCTATAACTGGAGTGACATTAGTGTAAAAAGTTCTTGTTTTTATTCTTCGATCATTCTGCGGCTACAATATGAAGTTCTATGCAAGTCAGATTACACTTGTACTGTTCAGTGATAAAAATATTAAAAATTTTGCTTTATTTCTATGCACGATGGTTTTTTTGAAACAGAAACAGTATACAGTAATTAATGACGTTAAAGAAAGACGAATAACACTGTTTTCTCATAACTTTTTGTCTTTCTTCTCTTTACTTGTTATCTGAGACAAAAGAAATTATTTGGTTAATAAGCTGAAGTAACAATAATGAGTTCAAGAATTAAAAAAATAGTTTTTTTCTTCTTTGCTTGTAGCCGTTAATGCTTCTTCTTCTTCGTCTTCTTCTTCTACTTGCCTCTTCCTGTTGTTCAAACAAACACCAAAGGATAGCCACCGCCAGTGCAAAATAACGGACTGTTCACTGTGTTCCCCATTCACCTCTCCTTCCACCACTGCCGCCACCTCCTATCTGCCGTGGTTGCTGTTGTGAAAATCCGACTTGGCTTTGTTGGCCAACATTCCAGCAGCCTTCAGCTGTAATGTAGATCGTTGATTTGCCCCTCCCTATAACACTGGCAACGCCATCATCACCATCAACATCATCATCACCGGCAACACCACCTGCTTACCTCGTTCCAACATCGCTATTTTATTGTGCACCGGAGTGACTTGTCTGCTTCACTAAAACAAATTTTCCCGTAAAATAATTTTTTTCAATGGCAATACTCTTCTGTAATGATATTTGAATAATTTCTTCTTTTTTTTTCACTAAATTTCAAAAATTGCTTTTACAACAAAGCTTTTGACAGAATAAGGCTGCAGTATTTTTTTTTTCTTGGTTCTAAGTAATGATTATCTTTTTTTTTTCTTATATAATTACCTGATAAATCTGGTTACTGTTTGTTAATTTCAAACTGCATTTACCCATAGTCAGTTTCATCTCATTTCTTTTCTCATTTCTTTTCTTTTTTGCTCATTTTCTTCTCTGTTTCCAGTGTTCGTTTGACTCCCTTTGCTCCACACTTTGTCCATCATCATCATCATCTGTTTCATATAGCCAAGCTTTTGTCTTCTCATATAATCTTCTGTTCTAAATATCATTGATTTAAAGCAAAAACAAGAAAATCTGTCATTTTTTTTTTTTTTTGTTATGTTAGGTAGAAAAATACTAAAATTTTTATAATTTTTATTATTATGTTTTTAATTTAATAGTTTGACATAATGTCATGTTTATTTTTTGCTCAGTATAACCATTATCCACTTTAGATTTTGAAAATTGGGAGGCTAAAACAAAATAATTTTTATTGAATCTGTACAAATTTTCATTGGTATTATGGTTATTGAGGTTAGACGGAATTCCGGTGATGTTAACAGTTGTTTGTTGAAGAAGAAAACTCAATACCGTTTCTTCTATAAAATATATCAAATTTAATCTTTCAATACATATATTTATATATTTATTTATTTGTTAGACATTACAAATGCCTGCTTATTCAGTTATATTTATTTTAATAAATAAATATGTAAATATTTGCAGTTCATGATAAGTGAACAAATATATATTTGTTTGTTTATTTACTAAATATTAGATATATGCATATTTATTCATTGAATAAATATAAATGAATAAGCAGATAAAAATACGTTTAATTTTTTATTGAGATTTAACTAAAAGGTTCAACAAATTATTATTGCTTCTGTTCAGATTCGGATTCTACGAAAAGCCCTCAACTAAACTACTACTTATTGAAAAAAAAAACCTGAAAAAATTTTAAAAGTCTTTTGAGAATACTGTTGGTGTTTAATCTTAAATTTGAAATTCTTTATGCGTTGAAAACCAAAAGTTTTATTGCACCTTTTTTTTCTCTATTTTTTTAATCGACATTTAACAGTTATATTCTAATAATGAATTCTAATCGCTTTGTTAAGACTTGTATTTTACATTATTATACGTTTTTTCTGTCAGCTGAACAGCGGGTAATAATCGTCTTTTTTTAGTAAGTTGTAAAATTATTTATGAACAGGTTTGATAGTTTGAAAATTTTTTAGTTCAAATTAAATTTGCCTATCTGTTTTACAGTCAACTGCTCTTATTGTGAAAGTAAGCTTTTGAAACCACTAAATAAAGAGTTTTTATGATAGTTTTTTTTGGTTAAATGACATTCTTTTGATATTAGTCATGCAACTGGTCTTGGACAATATTAGAACAAATCTTTTTTCATCTGCTGATGAACTAAATTATACTGGGCTTTGGTCAATTGACGGGAAGGCAAAAAGTTTTTCCAGACAAGGAAAGAGAGTCTTGCAATGTTTTGACATCGTTTCGCAGTATTTCGCTTAGGATAAAGATCAATTTTGTTGAAGAATTTCTGTCTGTTTCATTTTCCTTACAATTTCTACACTTCAAAAACTATGTGGGAACTTCGGCAACAATATTAGTTTGTTCAAACACCAGTGTAGTATTAAGCTTAAAGAGTAAATTTTTATTTGCACATAACAGCTGTAGATATTAGACATGTTGCACATAACTGTCATTCTTATAACTTTTAATGCCCTTACTCATTCAACAGTCAGTATTGTTGAAAACAGTGATGTTGATTTTTTTTTTTCTTTTCAGAAATTTAAATTTAATTTTGCAAAAAAAGATGTTTTTTTTTTTGTTTGGAATTTT